ATATATATACATACATATATATATATACATACATACATATATATACATACATATATATATATACATACATATACATATATACATACATATACATATATACATACATATACATACATACATATATATACATACATATATATATATATACATATATATACATATATATACATATATATACATATATTATACATATATTATACATATATATATATATTATACATATATATTATACATATATATATATATATATAATATAAAGATTATCTAATAAAACAAACTGTTCAATATCAAATGAGAATCAAACCCACAAACCAATTCTTTAAATCATATTCCATAAAAAGGAACTTTAGATTGTTTTATCTGATATGAAATAATTTGTCACCTGTTCAGGTGACATCTTTAGTTTATCTGTTTTTATTAATTTTTTTTATTTCAGTTTTTTAGTTTATTACTTTATTTGACAGGGACGGTGCAAAGTAATACAATATCTAAAAATATGCCTCAAGAGTGAATCATTTTCATCTGCAGGAGAAAGTTCAAAGCACAGCTGTTAAAACTAAATATAAGAAAATATAAGAAAATATATAAACATCGAACTAAAAGTTCGGAAATTAGTGTTTGGTAGATATTTTTATACAATGAGTATAGACACGCCTCACTCATGTTGTCTGTATAGAACAGACTCTCGGGCTTAAAATAGAACGTAAACTAAGTGAAATACAGAAACATCATCACAGAGACGTCACTTCAAAAGAAGAAATAACACCGTCGCCCTGCACAGGCGGTCTCTCTCACGCTTCATCCTTCAGAGCACTGAGCTCAGACACACGCTGTGACTTCACTCATCGAGGTGAAGCTGTGAGGACAAGTTAACTTGAGGACAGAACGTTGTTTCATGCACAACGATCGTCTTTAGGTTGTGATTTACAGAATCCAGAGACTCAGACATTAAACATCTCATCTTTTTATAATATATATATATATATAGCTTATATAATTATCAGTAAACATCAGGACTCAACAGCAGCCTGAGTGATTGTTGAGATGGACTTTTTTATTGCTTCCTTTTTGTTGCCTGCACACACACAACCTCACACACACACACACACTCACACACACACCCCTCAGATCATTGGTCACTGAGACCACAGCCCCGCCTTCACACTGAGTCCTTTATAAAGAGCAACTGAGGGAGGTGAGGTTACAGACTGTCCCTTTAAACTCTCTCACCTCCTCTGAGACACATTCTACTTCTTCAATCAGCTGACTTTGACAGGAGACGCCTTTCTTTTTCTCTCTTTTATTGAACAGGAGACTTCTTCCTGTTCAATAAACTCCTCAGAAGTACTGAGGAACTTCTCAGGGAGCTCTTCTTCTTCTTCTTCTTCTTCTTCCTCTTCAGCCCCGATGGATCTGTCCGACCTTTCCTTCCCTCTCTCCTCGGCCGATGACTTCTACGACGACCCCTGCTTCAGCACCACCAACATGAACTTTTTTGACGACCTGGACTCCCGGCTGCTGCACGCCGGCCTGCTGAAACCAGAGGACAATCTTCATCATCACCACCACCACCACGTCCCCGTCGCAGAGGAGGAGGAGGACGAGGAGGAGGAGGACGAGCACGTGAGGGCCCCGGGGGGCCTCCACCAGACGGGGCGCTGCCTGCTTTGGGCGTGCAAGGCCTGCAAGAGGAAGACGTCTCGCGAGGACCGGAGGAAAGCGGCCACGACGCGGGAGAGGCGGCGGCTCGGGAAGGTCAACGACGCCTTCGAGACCCTGAAGCGCTGCACGGCGGCCAATCCCAACCAGCGGCTGCCCAAAGTGGAGATCCTACGCAACGCCATCAGCTACATCGAGTCCCTGCAGACGCTGCTGAGGGGCGGCCGGGGCGACGGCTTCTACCCGCAGCTGGAGCACTACAGCGGGGACTCGGACGCCTGCAGCCCCCGATCCAACTGCTCCGACGGCCCGGTGAGTCCCACCGACAGCTGAGCGGCTCACCTGCTGCCGCCGGCAATGTCTGGAATGTGTTCGGCTTCTTTCTTTGGGCCTCAGCGCTTTCACGTGTTCAGTGTACGGAGTCGCATTTAAAATCCGTTTATAGACAAAATATTTAAAGTATTCTGCACTAAACCATGAAATGTGCTCTTTGAAGTCAGTTTCAAGTATTAAACAAATTAGTTTTTTTATTTAGAAAGAATGTGGAAATAAACGCACAATGACATTTTCTAGAATAAATTCTTGTTTTGTTGGACTGCAAAGTTTTGATTTAAGGAATTAGCAGAAGAGTGGAGCAGATCAACATTTAAGTCCTTTTTTATTTAAACTGCTGATATAGTACATATATATATATATATATATATA